GTTCAAATCCTAAGGACCACCGCCCCTGGGGTACAAGTGGCTCTGCCACTGGGTTTAAGTGCAAACGAACCATAACGTTTGGGCCTTTTTTAATCTTTTTTTTTGCCATCCGCGCATTGTGGCTCCCACCCCTGTTGTGACTCTCCATACACTACGCCATCCTCCCTCCTCGAATCAAATCCCATATCTTCACAAAATTGCCTCCGGAAATTGCAATCAACCCACCAAAAGGAAGATAAATCACATCCTCCACTGGCTTGCCATGGTTCAACTCCAAAACAGACCTTGAATTCTCCACTCTCACATCCCAAACCTTCACAGTATGATCGTAAGAATCCATAACAAACATATCACCACTAACAGGACTCCAGTCACCACACCCCACATAATCCTTATGACCCACCAAATCCAGAACCACACTTCCCCCGGCCACATCCCAGTAGTTAACGATTGTATCATCACCGCTAGCTGGACACTAAATGGAGCTTATCAAGAGCAAGGTAACGCACAAAATGAACAGGATTGATGTGGGATCGAAGACGACGAAGTGGGGTACGAGTTTTAACATCGAATACTTGCACTAAACTGGAAAGGTTGGCGGTGGCCGGGAGTAGTCTGTCGAGACGGAAGGAGAGAGAAGAAACTACATCCGAGAAGGAGATAGAGGAAGAGGAGGCAACATCAAGGTCCAAGAGGGAAAGAGGAGAGTAGAAGAACAGTGAGGCCGAGTGGGCGGCAGCGAAGACGTGAAGAGCAGAAGGAGAAAACAAGAAGAAGGGAATCGAGGGGATGAGGTTGTTGATTTGTGTTAACTTGAAAGAGCACCAGTGCTTAGATTCCGGTGCTGGGATTGGGTTCTGGGTTTTGGACACCAGTACTTGGAAAACGTCGCGTTTTGACGGGAAAGAACAAATGGATTTTTTCAATCTGTATCTTTACGATACAAATTAAAAATGCAATTAACATATTTTTTAATTATTAATTTATATAAAAATAAAAAATTACAAATACAAGATAAAAAAACCTTTTTATAATTGAATTTGTCTAACTTATATTATAAGAGTACATTAAGTTTTATTAACTATAAAATTTATAATTAATTTTATATAAATTTGTATATCAAATTTATATTTTTTTTATAAATTTTAAGTATAAATATTATTTTATATTTTATATTTTATTTTAATTAAAGTTGATATAAAAATTTATATAAAATTAATTAAAAATATTACATTTAATAAAACTCAACTTATACCTTTAAAATATAAATTAAAAAATCCATTTATAATTTAAGCATCTAATTAACAAATTGCATAAAACATCGTTGACATAAAAGGATTAAGAAGGACTGGGGCACAATGCGCGGGTGACCAAAAAATATTAAAAAAGGCCCAAATGTTACGACCGTTTGAAACGGTCAACAAACAATGGCGTTAGTCTAAATTGGATGGAGGGATGACATTAATGTGTTTTTGAACAGGTAGAGGGAGGGCAGATGGAGTTGATTAATGGTAGAGGGAGGATATGAGGTAAATTATTAATAAAAGGTTTAAATTGAACTATTTTTTATAGTAGAGGGAGATAGTTGGCATTAACCCTCTTTTTTTTGTTTTACGTAAACATCTTAACTGCGATAAGCAAAATTAAAAACTAAAATAAAATAAAAGACCTGAATCAACAGTGAGTAAAAGATTTCCACCAAAATAAATAAATAAATAAAAACGGTGAGTAAAGGTATTTCAGGACAATTGCTCCGGGTATGCCTGATGCCAACCATTTATTCTCTGGAGTCTGGGAAACAATTTTCACGCCGTGGACCCTGCTAATTTCATCAGGTACTTCTCCTGAGATTTGTCAACTACCTAGTTGAGAAAATCATACATCTTTAACCCCCAGTTGATAAGCTTTTGGTTTTCTTTTTTTTGCAGTTTTTCTTCATGCTGTTTTTTAGTTCTTATTTTTGGATAATTTTTAGCAGTTTCTGGGATCCGTTTTATCAAGAATATGCTTCTAGTCGAGGATGAAAAGTACTGTCTTTGAGTGCTCTTTTCATGGCGTGCAGGTTTAATTATTTGCTTTGATGACCAACTGAAGAGGTAAAGTTTATAGCTTTTTGAGGGGAACAAGATTCTCTATTTTGCAGTTCATACAGTACAAGATTATGAACAAATTTAGCGGAAAAAGGGTATGCAACAGGAAAAAGGGTATGCAATTTCTTTAGATTAATGGGTTGTGGTTCATAGAAACCTCCGTTCTTCAGATATTTTAAAGGTCCTTTAGGAAAAGCTGGAACTGGGTTTTACCCTCAGTTTTGGGGATGGTGATTTCCCCTTTGTATCTAGGGTAATCAAGTTGCTTTTACCAATCAATTAGTATGAGGCTAGAGGGTGGAAGGTGAGCTGAAATTGTTTGAGCTTGGGTGTTTAGCATATTTTCTTTGTCCACTGATCCCAAGTAGCAGCTTTACTCTTTTCAATTTTTATTTGTCTGTTTAATTATCCAAACAGATTCAGCTAGTTTTAGTTCAATAAATTTCATCGATGTCGGAGAAGGGTGTCCTTCCATCTAGGTTCCTCTTCTATATAATTACCATTTCAATGTTTCTTCTGATCCTTTCTTCTGTGTTCCTTCTTCAGTTTAGCAATACATCATTCATTCCCCGGTCAGTTTTCAAACTAATTCTTCTCAATAACACATCAGCTTACCTAAAATCCAATGCTAAAGGTGAACAAATAAGATTTCCTTTCTTCTCATCTGAAAATTCACAAGTTTCTGCTGAAATACCAAACAGTTGTGAAGGGTTGTCATGCAAGAATTCCAACTCAGGAAAAGAAATGTTTGCTCCTTGGCAGCAGAAAATGAAATCCTGCAGCACAAATTGGGCTCCTTTAAGGGTATATATGTATGACCTACCTTTTGAATTTCATTTTGGGTTGTTGGGTGGGAAGAGAAAGCCAACTGAGACCTGGCCAAATGTGAATGACCCAAGTAGTATCCCACAGTACCCTGGAGGATTGAATTTACAGCACAGCATGGAGTATTGGCTCACCCTTGATCTTCTAGCTTCAGAAACGTCAGCAGCAGCGAGACCATGTGGTGCAATTAGGGTGAAGAATTCAAGTCAAGCAGATGTATTTTTTGTGCCATTCTTCTCATCTCTAAGTTACAACCGGCATTCTAAGCTCAAAGGAAATGAAAAAGTTAGTGTTAACAAAAAGTTGCAAAATAAATTAGTGCAGTTTTTGATGACTCAGGAGGAATGGAATCGATTTGGTGGGAAGGATCATGTGATAGTTGCTCACCATCCAAATAGCATGTTGGATGCCAGAAAGAAATTGGGTTCTGCGATGTTTATTCTTGCAGATTTTGGGAGATACCCTCCTGCAATCGCAAATCTTGAGAAGGATATAATTGCTCCTTATAAGCATGTTGTGAGTACCATCCCTAATGCTGATTCGGCTCCATATGAGAAGAGGCCTACATTAGTCTATTTCCAGGGAGCTATATATAGGAAAGATGTAAGTGTCCTCCCTTTTTGGGATCATTTATATGTTATTCTTTTCTTCTTTTTTTTTTTAGTTAATTTTGAACAAAAGCTGCTGTTGTTTATTTGGAGTTTAAATTTGGCCTAAAATTGAAATTTTCCATTTACACTGTTACCTAACTACCTCAACTCTGTTAGATATTTAATGATATAGTGAAAACATGTTTGCTGTTAAAAGTTCGCAAGTTAGGAAGTAAAGATTGTTAGATATTCACATGCATTGTCACATCAAAGGGTGACAATTGAGTTGAGGAGAAAACAGAAATATGATTTTATTACTTGAAAGCAACTTATATTTTCCACATTCAATCTTTCTTCTAGGCTGTACTTGATTTTTTTAGCCTGCAATATGTTAATGCCCTAATTTTTTAGCTATGCAGGTGATTTTTTTTTTTTTTTTTTTTTTGGTTTTATGCAATTATTTTGTGAAACACTTGCTCTTTTATCTGCAGTCAGATAATTCTGACCTGTTATCTGTCAACTCCCTGCTTGACGGTGACAGTTGGTGTGGATTTAGAAGAACAAGATAAGGGTTGGCATTGGGAGTTTCCTGGGTTTTAATGGAGCACTGAATTTTAGAGTCTCAATTAGAGTGAAAAAGATGTGGTTTGGGAAAGGAGAGAGGATAGTTTCTGGGTTGGATGAAGCAGTTATTTCATGCATTAGGCACAGATCATAAACTATTAATACTTTTTGCTAGTGTCATAGAATCTTTGTTGAACATACCATTTTTATTCCAAAGGTATCTAAATGGGGCCATATATAGTAGGATCTTCAGGATGCACCAAGTGCAATTTAGTAGTGTGCAAAATGGGGACTTCCTCTGTCATATATTACTGCAAAACCACACTGACGATATAAGCTACGGTAGTTCATTTTAGTTAAAACAGAAAAAAGTTTCAATAAATATAGTCAAGCATAGTTTGTAATTAGGTTAATATTTTCAGTGTCTCAGGAGGAAGTACTCCAAAATGGCATTCCAAAGAACTTGAGATTAAATCACTAATTTCTAGTTTAATGATGAAGCACTGCAGAAATAATGGTCTTGGATAAATCGCCATTCTGTTTCAAGAAACAGTGAAGAGAAACAGGGATTTGGTTTCAAGTAACATGTTTTATGGTATTAAATGAAATATTTTTTTCTCTTCTTAATGTGGTTCCAGCATTTTCTTGATTTTTCTTCGTTCTTGACATTGCAAAGTAAAGCAGCACTCCTTTAATGCTTCTTGTTCAATTTTCTCATCTATTGCGCCCAAGTCTAAACTTCTTGTGATGCAGCAGATTAGATCTTTTGGTGTATATTAATCTAAGATTTTTATTTGGAATCATTCTTCAGGGAGGAGTCATTCGTCAAGAACTGTATTACCTTCTCAAGGATGAGAGTGATGTGCACTTCTCATTTGGATCCGCTCAGGGAAATGGTGTCAAGCAGGCAGGCCTAGGGATGGCCTCATCCAAATTCTGCCTCAATATTGCTGGGGATACCCCTTCTTCAAATCGCCTATTTGATGCTATTGTCAGCCATTGTGTTCCTGTAATTGTAAGTGATGAGATTGAGCTACCATTTGAAGATGTCTTGGACTACTCAGAATTTTGCATATTTGTCCGTGCATCTGATGCTGTGAAGAAGGATTACCTACTAAACCTTCTACGGGGTATCAATAAAGACAAGTGGACCAAAATGTGGGAAAAATTGAAGGAGATTGTACGTCACTTTCACTATCAATACCCATCACAGCCTTGTGATGCAGTGAACATGATTTGGGGAGCGGTTTCACGTAAGGTTACTTCCGTACAATTCCAACTTCATAGGGAGAACAGATACCACAGATCAGAGGAATGGAAAAACAACAGACAAGCAGATAAGAGTTCAACATAGTTTTTTGACGTTACATTCCTGGGAGACACAAGCTTCATTTCCCTGAAGATCTCTAAGGCCTTTTTGCATTGGTTCTACTTACCCTGCTTGTATCATTCAAATCATTTATAGGTCTATATTTCTTATAAGAATGCATTGTTGAGTTTAAATTTTAGACAAACAAGTTCATTGTCCTTTTCTTTGCTTCCTGAATATATCCAAGGAAAACTGTTGTTTCCCTTTTCCAGAGATTATGTTTGATGTTCTAAATTAAAAATAAATAAATAAACAATAAGGGTGTTGCAATTTAGACTACAAAACAATAACTTTTAGATAAGTGGAGTTCCCTTATGAGTTATGACAAGGGTAGGCCTACTTTAGCTGATGGTTGGTGTTTCATTTCAATGCAGTCCTTGCTACAAAACACTGGACTGTAAAATTTGAGTTTTCAGAACTGATTCTTGTATGTTACATTGTTACTTGAAAGAAAGCAAAAAAGTTGAAGATGTTGCAGATTAAACAGGAGGAAAATGTCATATGCTGTAAACACTTCTTTCTAGAATTTCACGCTGATAAGCCAAGATACAGAAGTCTTTTCCTTGCAGAGAAAATTGGGAACTGCTACTATATTTGTATATGACAGCAAGAGCCATCATTTTAGGTATTCTTCTTTTGTTAAAACCTAGGTTTTTACAGTATCTTTCAGCTTGAGCAAAAACTTGGACTACAAGTCTAAAACAAATGAAAATGCAGAAAACTCAACAAACCCACATGGAGAAACAATTAAGAAGAGAAGAGAAAGCTCTCCACATCCTCTTGCTTTTTCTTCACCTCATTTGCAGCCTCAGCCCATCAGAATTCAGCCCATTTTTTTCCTGTGAAAAGAGCTGAAACAGCTTCATGTTTTCACCACCTGTTGTGAATGGGGTCGGATCCTTTTCGAACTTGTCTCTTGTTAGACTGACTAGGATCAAACACCAAAGAAGGCGCAGGCGCCAAACCCTGTCTTGTATCCAAAGAATCCATTGCAACAGCAGTTAGAATCCGGGAATTCTGAACATATTCTAACAGCTCTTTATCCCCTCTGAGAGCAAGAGTGATGCTTCTCAGGCCAGAAACCTTATCTGGTTGAATTACTAAGAAACCAATACAAAGAAGAAGCATGAATCTCATGGTAACTGAAAGAACCATACTTGTAACTCTAGAGAAAACAGAGAGAAACAGGCGTATTAAGGGTGGAAGCAATGTTATGAAAATCAAGTTTGGTGTCTGAGATAAGAATGAGGGTGAGGATTCTCTTTTATGGGATTTGGAAGAGAAAAAGCAGAAAAGCAGGAGGAGGCCCCATAAACATGTAGGGAAGTTTAAGATTCAGCTCAATCATAAGCCTGTCATAGAAGCAATATATAAAGGCTGTATTAGAAGACTCTGACAGGTTTGAACAAAAAGCTGGGCTTGGAACACTATCCTTGGGAAGACAAGTATCTTTTGCAATTTTTGGTTTTCCCAATCATTTGCCTTGCTCTTTTTTACCAGACCAAGACCAGTCCTCATCCTTTAAGTCTTAAGCCGACTTGCCACATAATCTCACCATTGCTGACGTGTACTTGCTCCATGTTTGTCTGGTGACTATAATGGCTTTGAGATAGAGAGGTATCAGCCAGTAACATTATGAAATCCCATTGATGACTAAGGAAAATCCCACGTTTGATTGTAATTCAGAGTTGTGAATTTTAAGTAGCAACTAAACTATTTCTTTAGGAGCCCTTTAAGTACAAAACCCTGAGGATCACGTGTCGAAGTGATAATACCTTATGTCTTGACATTAATACAATATATTATTTAAAACCTCATATTGGAGTTTAGCATATATGGCGAAATGATGAAAAAGAAGAAATCTAACCATGTATGAGAAACCAAAATTAAGATCTAAGAAAGGCACTATAATGTGTTAGTCTAGAGATTAGAGTTCGGCATTTAGAAACTAAAGTGTTTTGGGTGCCAAAAGCAAAGGCAAGAGCCAGCAAAAATTCAGAATGCAACAGTAACAAGAAAGACATTAAAAGCAGAGATGCTGGGGGAAGGGGAAGGGTGACTAACAGTAACTTCTTCAAAAAAAACCAACCACTTGCTTTATCCAAAACCCCCCACTTTAGAATTCCAAGCTCTTCTCTCCATGCAACCAAAAAAAAATTCACAGTCTTGGTCCCTTGTGCTAAATGGTTTCCCTTTATGCTTTTCTTTCTTTTCTCTCCCTTTGGTTCCCCCAACTCCATCCCTCCGTTCACAGTCTTCCTCCTGCTTTTCTTTAATTTTCTCTTCTACCAATGAAAACCTTCCTCCCTTCTCTTTTTCTCTCAATTTAAATTTAAGGGGCCCCTTTTTTTTTTAAGAAAAATTTGAAGAAGCTATTGTATAATTGAAAATTTCCCTCATATTTTTTATATTCGTGGTGTTTGTTGGGGGTGGATGGGGACAGGACACGGTCCAAACCTAATGCACAACACAAATCCATCAGCCTACATAGGGAGGGAAGGCCTTTCCCTTTAGCTATATTTTAAAGCAAAAGAAATGGTTGAGTTGTTGCTTTCTCAAAATCATCCTTCATCAATCACATTTCCCTTTAAACTCACCTCCTTGCTTTCATCTGCATGCCCATGTCATGCATCCATGCACCCATCATATATATCAGTACTATTATTTTGGTACATACAATGATTATGTCCATTCTGAGATTATTTGCGACCTTTTGTAAGTTCGAAGTTGATTTTCCATCAAAGTTTTATCAAGAGTTTATTTACAGGAAGAAAATATTATAGGGGTTCATTTGCCTTTCTTTTTTTCCAAATTAAAATGTAGCGTGCAAAAATTCAATTTATAAAAACCAAAAAAAAAAAGGAAAAACAACAGAATCAGATGTCTTTAATCCAAAAAAGAAGAGACCCCAGGTCAGCTGCACTAGGATAATGGTTTTCTATCCAAAATTCAGACATTAGGGTCCATCAAAATTATTTAGAGAGTTAAAGAAGTTGCAAGTAAAAAGAATAAAAGAAGTATATACTTTTTCCTGGTAAATGCTATTCAAAGAAGATACCTGTAAACACAACTCAGGATCTTATCTCAGTGATAACAGCCATGAAAATAGGGAAAAGACATCATCTCATTACATTTTAATCTCTAGTACTTTTCTTCTTTCATGGTGTTTACACTCATTTTTGCGAAAAATAGAATGATGCCATATGTCATTCATGTTGGCATATATTTCATCAGTGTAAATCTCTCCAGATAAAGTTCAATGGTTATTCCCATGACTGCAGTGAAGTCGTTCACTTGTTGCGAACTTCCAAGAGGATAATCGATAACATCAACAAATTAATCAATTTGTTTTAGATATCACACTGCCGTTGGTTTTTCAAAATTACTGCCACAGATCTCCAAACATGCTGCCTAGGGGTGTTTATTGCTATAAATTTGTAGAGAAGAAACAAAGTAAGCGACCAGCCCCTCACACAACTAGTCCAGCACTATCTACCTTTTAGTTTTACAAGCAATGCCTTAGTTTAGATCCAACTTTCTTAAACAGCTTTCCTAATTAAGTCTTTGGCTCTAAGCTGCTATTAGTTTTAACTCTAGTTTTTATTTTTTCGTTGTGAACATCAACACTTGATGTATTTAGTTTTTTGCAATTTTATTTACTGCACTTCACTCCAAATTCATCTTTCTAGCTTCTTTTAAATTTAGTTTTATGCTTCAGTTTTTATTTCGTTTTCTACGTTTTCATGCTTTGTGGCGGCATTATGCTTTCTTTCTACATTTTAGTTTTCTCGCCATGCACTTTCTGTTTTTTCTTTTCCTTTCTTTTTCTCTTTTATTTCGATTAGTAAACTAACTTTTTGACCCTAGTTGTGGGAAGTCCCTGATGTTCTTCCAAGGCAATTATTTATGGACCTTTATGTAGGAACACACCCATGTTTATGTGACAATCGTCTGACCAGGGTGCATCTCATAATTTATTTAGCCAGTGCTTTTCCATCAACTTGCAACTGAGTTTCACGCTTGAAAATAGTGAGGTTCACCGGGAATCCCTCTTTCTCACTTTGAGCAAAGTGAGTGGCACGCCTTCATAGTCTTATTTGTCACGTGACCGAAAAGGGAGATTTGGAAACAATCTCTTTTTAGCATGCCCAGTGAGACCCATCTTGGGTTTTCACAAGTTTGTTGATCATATCCTTTTCTGTTAGATTGTGCCACCATGGCAAGTCTTTATTCTAATGACTGCCAAAAGTTCTTCATGACTCCGCTACATACTTCCTTTTATATCAATCCACTTTATAATGAGAGGGTAACAACGAACAGTGAGTCTTCCAAATCACTTGCTCAAATGATAGCTAATTTTGCTGAGAAATCTAAAAGGCTTCATGATGAATGGAGGAGGAATTTGGAGGAAAATTGGAAAGGATGCAAATTAAATCTTCCAAAACTTAAAAACCCCTTAACCGAAAAGTGAGGTTTTAATGGAGGATTCAAAAAAGTGTCATGTAACCATGTCTCCAAGAACTCTGAAGCAGTTTTGCAAATCGCAAAACGTGATAGAGATGCCAATTGTAAATGAAGGTCAGACAACACTAAGGGCCAGAGAGTAACCTCATGATCACATTCGAGGGGCATGAGTCACAATTGCAACGTGCTGCCCAAAGTCAAGGACACCATGCAACTTTGGAGGCGACTTCAACAAGTATGCCTCCAATTCATTCTAAGCCTGCAAAGACTAATACAAGCAAGAGCCCTCTTACTCTTGGGAAGCATAAATCAACTCAGTTGCAGATATGTTAGCCATCCGTTAATCAAGGTCCATATGATGGTCAATAGCAAGCTGATGTTGCCACACAAAAGCCAACACTTTGGCCGGCATCAATACATAAATCTGATATGGTATTCACCCCATCTATTTCTTCTTATTTTGAGACTAACGAGCATATTTCTTCAGCCTTGCTTAAGAAGTGTTCATGGCGACCATGCTTTCTTAATGGTCGAAACCTTTCCAAGTTCAATTATGGACAATGGTTGAAGGTGAAATATCCTTTTAAACTCGTTAGTCTGAAAAGGGGAGTCATTTCCAATCTTAGCGGGCAGCCTAGTCAGATTGAACAACAAAGGTTGCAAGACCTTATTGCCAATGAAGTTCACAAAGCTACAGAAAAAGAGGCAGTAAGGTTTGTGCCATTGCAGCCTGATGTCAATTCAATCATCCAATCAATGCCGCTACAACAAAAGCATGTTTGCAAGCCTAGACCACCTTAGCCGTTTGCAAACTCATTGCTTTAAAGGCCACTCTGGTGGCATGTAGGCCACCATGTTGTCCAACATGTTGTAGGCCATATTCAAAAAATAATGATCCTTTTCAAAGTGGCTTTCACAAAAAATTCCCAAATTTTCCTTGCAACCACAAGGATAACATGGGAGGCAACTTGAGAAACACCATGCCTTCGCATCTGCCAAGTCAAAGAAGGAGGAAGAAATCTAAAGACTTCAATTGGACACCAAAGAAGGAACAAAAGCAACAAATCCATGTCTTTGAATGGAGGCATGGGGGGCATGATCAAACACTCAAGCATGGAGGCATGGGTAGATGCTGCCTCTATAAACAAAGTCAATTTAGACACAGTTGCCATATAAACCTGGTGGCTTACCCAAAGTTCCCTACCCAAAATCCTAGGACCCTTCGAAGGTGACTTCAAAAGAAATGAGCTAAAGAGCGTCAAAGGCATGTTGCTGCCAAGGTGCATGCTTCCCAATGGCAACAACCTCCAAGGAGGCAAAAGTGTATTTGGGTGGAGAAAAAGAAACATAGTGCAGCCTCTCAAGAGACAAATCAGAATTTAGTCAATGCAATCATGTCTCCAAAGACGTCTGCCAAGCATGTTCCTTTCAACTCGAATGACTCAAAGGCAACTAAAGACCTTAATGTCAATAGAAAAACAATTAGCCTTGGTGAGTTTATTATTGAACTTCCAAGTTCCATTCCAAATCTCCCTTTTGTTTTTACAAAGAAGCAAGATGCAGCTTCTAGTAGCAAAGAGGCAGCAAAGAACAAAGCAAACATGTCTGCCAAAGAAAACAAAGGGAGGGATCATAAAAAGGATGCTGCAACCTATGTTCCAAGAGGAGGCATGTTGCCGTCAATTAAAAGCATGCCACCCAGGAGACATTCTGCCAACAATATGAAATCTTTGCAAATGCACAAGGCATTAGATGAAGGCACATACTGGCTACGGAACCTTGACAGTAGTCTACACCTCACAAAAATAAATGGCTTACCTTTTCAGCCATGCTAACCTTCGGTCTATAAGTCATGTAGTAGATCAAAGTGGAAATAATCCCTTTACCTAAGTCAAGTTTGGGTGGAAATCAACTTAATTTAGTTTTTGTTTTTAAATTTCTACAATTCGTGTGAATAATCTTGCAATTGAGCGGCTTTAAGGAAGGCTGTGAAATGACATTGCTTTTAAGACATTATGCTTTCTATGGAGGCCTGCTTCATTTATGTTTCTAGGTCAGCCAGAAAGCAAACTCATGGAATTGTTCTTTTTGGAGGCTATATTTTTCCATTTTTACAGACACACTTTTAGCTGGCTTATTTCTCTATAAAGCCGCTGTGTTTGTTAGATAATATTCCATGCTATGCTGAAGAAAACAACAATCTCAAATTTCTACATTCTTGGAGACATCATGCTTCCTTTGCAATGGCCACATGGTGAGGAGTGCTAGAAACAAAATTTTTAGAAACAAAATTTTCAAAAACTTGATTCCACTTCCAAGATGTCGTGCAACCAAGTTTTGGGGGACATTGTTTACACCCATTTTTGCAAAAAATAGAATGATGCCACGTGTCATTCATGTTGGCATGCATTTCATCAATGTAAATCTCTCCAGTTTAGTGGTTATTTCCATAATTGCAGCGAAGTCATTCGTTTGTTGTGAATTTTCAGGAGGATAATCGACAGCATCAACAAATTAATCAGTTTGTTTCAAATATCACACTACCGTTGGTTTTTCAAGATTGTTGCCATAGATCTCCAAGCATGCTACCAAGGGGTGTTTATTGCTGTAAATATGCAGAGAAGAAACAAAGTAAGCAACTAGCCTCTCACACAATTAGCCCAGCGCTATCTACATTTTAATTTTACAAGTAATGTCTTAGTTTAAATCCAACTTTCTTAAACAGCTTTCCTAATTAAGTCTTTGGCTCTACGCTGCCATTAATTTTAACTCTAGTTTTTGTTATTTCGTTGTGAACATCAACACTTGCTGTATTTAGTTTTCTGCAATTCAATTTATTGCACTTTGTCCCAAATTCATCTTTCTAACTTCTTTTAAATTTAGTTTTATGCTTCAGTTTTTATTTTGTTTTCTACGTTTTCATGCTTTTGTGGCGATATCACGCTTTTTTTCTA